TTTTTGAACAGATAATGAAAAAGTTGCCAAAATTTGTAAAAATAGAGATAGTTTAGGGTTTATTAGTCACGAATTCAAAATATTGGATACATTGTTGAAAGATCAAGATAACATTCCAAAACCAACTTTATTTTCTGATGGGATTTTGATAATGAAGAAATATCATCCTTTATCAAATAAGTTTATACAAATCCAACTTCCCAAAAGGAGGGAGTGTTTTCAATTAATAGATCTTTTAAAAGATATTCATTCAAAAGGATTTTGTCACAGAGATATTAGACCTGATAATGTTATGCGGACTGATGATGGTAAATTGATATTAATTGATTGGGGTTTTGCATGTGCAATTAATGAGACAACTTTTTTTGCTGGTATTATTTCTTTTTGTGTTGATGATTATTTAGGTTGCGTTTTGGATCAAAATACTTTCATAAGACCGTACAAGAAAGAGTATGATTGTGAATCAATGCTAAAAACTTTTTGTTTTTGGTTTGATGAAGATAAAATAGAAATATTATCAGTGAACAGATTAAAGAAAGCAGAGGGAGCTAGAAATTTTTGGACTAATTTTAATAAGTTGAATTTCCAATCAATTTTAAAACAAATTCATACCAAAAATTCTGATCCTTATGAAGTTCTTAAATCATTTTTTACTAAAAACAATATTGATTAAAATAAGTTGGAATGTTGCTGGATAATAGGAAATTTGAATCAATAACATCCTTAATGACATTTAGATTATCAGCCAAAAGGCATTCTGTTTTACTTATTACACTTCCCCTAAAATCATCATCTAGACCTTGGATTAATCCATGTTTGACATCAAAATAAAACTCCAAGTCTTCACAAATGAAGAAATTATTCAAATCTTCAAGTGTTGGGATATATTGAACTGGTTCTGGAGTGTCTTCTCTTTACTAATTCACCAAAATTTCCTCTATTGCTAGCTCCGATAGCTTTGTATAGCTTTGTTTTATCAATAGTACGTTTACCTCTGGACATTTTTTACTTTGCTATTTGATAGTTTACTTTGTTTCCTTGTGAATACATCTTCAATTCACGAAATTTTGATAAAAGTTGTGAATCTTAAAGCAGTTTATTCTGTCTCGTCTCTTTTTAAATTGTAATAAAATGTGTGCCATGGTACTCTATTCAAAGAAAGCGCTGAGCAAGAAGTATTATAGAATCAAACGTAAAGAACTAAAAGAGAGGAAAGAAAAAAAGTTACAACAAGAATTAGTTGAAGCACAGAGCATGGTTGTGAATAATGCATCTGAAGCAGCCAAAAAAAGGTTAGCTGAAATTTGTAGATGGGCAGACGATGATACTGTGGATGTAGAAAAAAAACAAAAGTTGCGAGAGGTTTATAAACAATTATCAGCATCTAGAGCAAATAACACATACATTTTGGAGTAAAATCAGAGAAATAAAGATCAGCAATTGATCGCTTATTAATGATGATCCTCAGTTTGATGTAGTCTTTATAAGCAAGAGTGTTGGTTTCTTCTTCTTTATTGATTTTAATCAAATAAAGATATTTCCCTAGGACCAACTGTTATTATAAAATTACAATCATTTACAAAAGCAAATAAAAAAATTGGTGAAGTGAAATTCAATACTTCTAATTTAGTATATTCAGAATCATAAACATCCACAACATGATTTCCTGATTCTAGTATAAATGTTTTCTTATTATATGGATCTGATAGTGTGAGTATCGTATTTTGTGTACATGGTATTATTTTTGAAATGTTGCCTTTTTTTAGAAATAATTTGTAAATATGATCCTCTCCTAGTAAAACTAGAAACTAGTAAATTATTATTAAAATCCAATCCAATATGATTTGAAATTCTATGACCAGATGCAATTGAAATTTTACCAAGACAATTTCCTGTTTTGGAATCTAATAATTGCACATTTTTAGTAATACTTGAATTTAAAAATAAAATTCCTCTTTCATCTTGAACAATTGAATTAATTCCATGAATTTCCTTTCTCCAAATTATATTTCCACTTTCAATTTCAACTTTCCATAATTCTGATAAATGAATATTAATTATATTTGCAATTAAAAAACATTTTTCACATTTCAATGAATAAAAATATTGATAATGTTTAACATCCTGTTTCAATGCATATTTAGTAAATATTTCCATATTTGTGATTAATTTATGAATTGGATCAAAATTAAATTTTAAAACATGAATAGTATTAACATCTTTAGATAAAATTAAAATTAAATAATTAATATTATCAGAATAAATGCAAATAATTGAACCGTTAATATAATCATTGGATCCAAATAAATCACTATTTGTAATTGTTTGTAATTTATTTAGTTTAGATTGATAACCTTTTAATGTTTTATTGGTTTGATTATTCGGAAGAGTTAAATCATCACACTGTGATGACATATTTTACTATTTAATTTTTTTATTGTAACTATTACATAGTTATTATTTGGATTTAATAGATCCCATTGAATAAAATTATGAAAGAATGATGTGGCACATGACGTTAAAAGCTTATCAATCTAAACTAAATGGAGCCTACAGAAAAATATCAAGGATTTCATGTAAGATGTTTTGATCCTTAAGGAACGTAAAGCCGTCATAGCTCAGTTGGATAGAGCACAGGACTTCTAATCCTGGGGTCGTGGGTTCGAGCCCCATTGTCGGTATCTGATTTTTGTTTCAAAAACACTATCCCAAAGTTACTTTCCTCTAATTTTCTAATATTTCAAAAATTGCAAATAAATGCGCTTGTTTTTTAGAGTTTAAAGTCAATCCTTAATAGCTTCTTGTATTATTCAAATAGAAAGTTATATATTATCAAATTGCAATACATTGAAAATCCAAATCGTTCTTTGACTTATTTTTACATTAGAATATTCTTCCCTCCTCCCTTATTCTAAACCTTCCAATGACTCCGAAATGGTATCATGACTATTTATTCTTGTAGACTATTAGAAACTAGCGCTATTTGCCTCACTTGAATCGGACTCAAAATGAGCGCTTGACTTTGGCCCGTGGCTTCCAAAAGATTAAAGGAAGCTCAAAAGATTCTCCCACCTTTGATACTCAAGTAGTTATTTAAAAGAAAAACAAACAAAGCCTTCTTCTTTGAAAAACATATTTATTATCCATTACTATTGTTGTTGATTGTTTTTATTATCTTTGAATAGAGAATAGGACAACACACTTTTATACTTGTAGATAGTATTATCCATTCTTCTTGTGTTTTCAAAACAATTATCATCATCACCATCATCAACACTCTCCATCATCAACACAAAAACTACAATAGTATATCATATAACATTATTTATTCGGAAGAAAAAGGCTTTAAAACATGTTTCAAAGATTAAAAGCCAAATTTACCAGAACACCAGTATGTATATTTTCATATTCTCTAAACACAACAATTTTAATATGTAATATTACTATATTCATCTTTATATAATAATAATAATAACAAAACAACAGAGGGATGGAAATTCCCTAGTAGACCATTCGAATGAATCATCAAATAATCAAAATACTCTACCACTACCATCATCATTAACATCACCTCGTGAACATACAACACTAGTAATGTCAAATTCTAGTACTGCTATTATGAGTTCTGCAACAATTAATACTAATTATAATAGTACTAATAATCCATCAACACAACATAGAAGTATATCGGATATGTTTACTGGGAATGAAGTTGGAGCCTTTAATACTTTTAATATTCAACAACAACATGATGCAACAAAAACTAGATTACTATTTGCAAATGATGAAATGTCAAACGCCACCAACAAATTTATTGATAATTCCATAACGACTACTAAATATACTTTCTACAACTTTTTATTTAAGAATTTATATGAACAATTTCATAGATTTGCAAATTGTTGTAAGTATTTTAATGATTTATCACTTATTTGAATGATGAAATATTATAATTGTACAATATTTGAATAATGGATGATGAAATATTTGTGAAAATAGATTTTTTATTTATGGCAGTTTTGCAAACTATTCCAACATTGTCACCAACAGGTCAATTTACAGCATTCTTTCCTTTAGCATTTGGTAAGTATTATATTGGAGGTATTATACTAAACAAAATCTAATATATGACTATTAATAGTATTGATTTGTACAATGATTAAAGATGCTTATGAAGATATTAAAAGACTCTATTCTGATAGAGTTACAAATAATAGAATTGCTCATGTTTTGAGAGGTGACAAATTTGAGGATATATTTTGGAAAGATGTAAAAACAGGTGATATTGTTAAAGTAGATAATAAGGAACCATTTCCTTGTGATTTAATTCTTGTTTCTTCAAGTGAATCACAAGGTTTATGTTATGTTGAAACTTCAAGTTTGGATGGGTATGTTATTTCTATGGATTGAATGTTGATTAACTTGTTGATTTTATTAAATTGGAAATTGGAAAATCAATTGAATTCATATTAATTTGGATATTAATTTGGATATAAAGTGAAACTAATTTAAAAATTAAGAGATGTCGTCATGAAACTTTGGAACTTTCAACACCTGAAGCACTTGATAAAACTAGAATGATTGTGGAATGTGAAAAACCAAACAATAGATTATATAAATTTGAAGGTACAATGGTATTGAGTAATGGAAAGAAATTATCCATTGATACTGAACAAATTTGTTTACGTGGATCTTCATTGAAAAATACTGATTTTATGATTGGTGTTGCAATTTTCACTGGACACGATACTAAATTAATGATGAACACAAAGTATGTTTTATTTTAAACCATTCTTATATATTTATTATTATCAATTATGAAATTTAATGACATGATACTCTTATTAATATAATGATATTTAATGATATAATGATATTTAATAATGATATTTAATGATATATTTAATATTTTTACAGAGAAACTCCACACAAAATTAGTAAAATTGAAAGAATGATTAACAAGTTAATTTTACTAGTTTTAGTAGTTCAAATCATTTTAGTTTTGAGTTGTGATATTGCATTGATGGTTTGGACAAATTTTAATGCTGGAGCATGGTATTTATTCCGTGATGTTGTCATTGATTCTGAATATATTGCATGGAATGGATTTAAAGGATATTGGACAATTCTCATTCTACTTACAAATTTAATTCCAATTTCACTTTACGTTTCAATTGAAGCAGCTAAATTAGTTCAAGGTATTATGATTAGTCAAGATTTAGCAATGTATCATGAGGCTACAGATACTCCTGCCCTTGTTAGATCTTCAGCTTTAAATGAAGATTTGGGTCAAATTAATTACATCTTTTCAGATAAGACTGGTACTTTAACTGAAAATAAGATGGACTGTAAGTTTTTTTTTGAATCATATTAGTGTTATAACAATTGTTTTGTCAACAACAATCATAAAAACAGTCATGAAATGTTCAATTTCTGGTAAAACATATGGTTCAGGTATCACTGAAATTGCCAATGTAGCAGCCAAGAGACAAGGCATTACGCTTATAGATGATAGACCTGAACATGTTAAAAATAATCCAAATTTCCAATTCTTTGATGAGAGAATGAATGATGGAGCTTGGATGAATGAAGAAAATGCTCAAGATATTCAAAATTTCATTACCTTGTTAGCAGTTTGTCATACAGTTATTCCTGAAAGAAGTCACAACAAACCAAATGAAATTATTTATCAAGCTTCTTCACCTGATGAAGCAGCACTTGTTAAAGCAGCTAAATATTTAGGTATTGAATTTATTAATAGAACTACCAATACAGTTACTATTAAAATAATGGAAAATGAAGCGATAGAATATCAAGTATTAGATATTATTGAATTTTCAAGTGATAGAAAGAGACAATCTGTCATTGTTAGAGATCCAGAAGGTAAATTATTAATAATGACCAAAGGAGCAGATTCAATGATTTATCCACTTTTAAATGAAGAATCTGTTGAAAAATATGGACCAATTACATTGGAACATTTAGATCAATTTGGTAATGAAGGTTTGAGAACATTGTTATGTGCTCAAGCTTATCTCGATGAAGAAGAATATCAACAATGGCATAGAGAATATGAAGAAGCTAAAACTTCACTTGAAAATCGTCAAGTTAAAGTTGAAATGGTTGGTTCTAAAATTGAAAAGAATTTACAATTTGTTGGAGCTACAGCTATTGAAGATAAATTACAACAAGGAGTTGGAGATACAATTTATGAATTAAGAAGAGCAGGTATTAATATTTGGGTATTGACTGGTGACAAATTAGAAACTGCTATTAACATTGGTTTTGCATGTGATTTATTAAATTCTGGAATGACACTTTTAATAGTTGAAGGAAATACAATTGAAGAATTGAAAACTTTCCTTGAAAAGAGTTTATCAACATGTGAAGGTATTTCTTCATCAGATGCATTGGGTCTTGTTGTTGAAGGTGACAAATTATTAACCATTTTAGAAGGTGAACATAATAATCCACTCAATCCAGCTAATACTGGAAATACTTTGAGAAATTTATTCTTAAATTTGAGTGTCAAGTGTAAATCGGTTATTTGTTGTAGAGTTTCACCTAAACAAAAATCAGATGTAGTTTTATTAATTAAGAATAATGTTGATAGTATTACTTTAGCTATTGGAGATGGTAGTAATGATGGTATGTTTTCATATTTATATTTAATCTTATATATTTAATCACATCTTATATATTATATATTATATTTAATATTATATTATATATTTAATCATATTAACAATTAAATAATAATAGTGAGTATGATTCAAAGTGCTCATGTTGGTATTGGTATTTCAGGACAAGAAGGATTACAAGCAGTGAATGCATCAGATTATGCAATTGGTCAATTTAGATTTCTCAAACGTTTATTACTTGTTCATGGTAGATGGAGTTATAGAAGAGTTTCAAAATTAGTTCTCTATTGTTTCTATAAGAATAGTCTTTTATATTTAACACAATTGTGGTATATTTTCTCAAATGGTTATTCAGGTGCAACTGTTCATGATAAGTGGACTATTGCTCTTTACAATTTAATATTCTCTGGTTTACCAATTATTGTATTAGCTGTTATGGATAGAGATGTATCAGCTGATGTTGCTGAAAAATTCCCAGAACTTTATTATCAAGGTCAAAAGAATAGATTTGTAAGTAGTTTTCTTTTATTATTTATTTAGTAATTTTATTAATTATTAACTATATTTTTTCTATTGTTCTATGTAAACAAATAATCATCATCATTATATGAAATGTTTTAAAATACTTTAGTTCAATGCTAAAGTATTTATATCATGGGTTGTTAATTCATTATTCCATTCACTTGTTTGTTTCTTTGTTCCATATTATTGTTTGGTTGATAGCAAATTCCTTGATGGACATGATATTGATCCAGAAACTATTGGTATTGTCATTTATTCATGTGTACTTGTTGTAATTTCACTTAAATTATGTATTGAAACATCATCTTGGACATGGGTTAATGTTTTAATTTATACTGGAAGTTTATTATCATGGCCTGCATTTATATTTGTTTATGGAAGTATTTATTACATATTTGGATATCCATATCCAGTTATATCTGAATTTTATGGAATTACAGAAAGATGGAGAATATTCCTAACACCACAATTTTACATGATTGTTTTATTAGTAACATTTATGTGTTGTATTAGAGATATATTCTGGAAAGGATTTGTTAGAATGCGTTCAAGAAATGCCTATTACCAAATTCAAGGAAGAAAGAAATCAAAGAAATCAAGACAAGAAATTTTGGAAAATTTCCCATTCGAAGAAGGTTTACCTGTCAAGATGAAGAAAAAGAAAAAGTTCAATGTCGTAGAATTACAAGAAATTAAGAAGGTATTCGAAACTGCTGTTACAAGTGTTGCTAAATTTAATTATCGTGGATTTGCATTCTCACAAACTGAACAACAAGGTGATTTCTTAAAACAATATTATAATGGTACAAGTAGTACAAATAATAATAATAATGGAAATAATAATAATACTAATAATACAAATAATACAAATACTACGACCACTAGTAATACAGGAATGAATACGCTGCCTAATAGTGCAAATGATAATGTTATTATCAATATCTCTAATGATGATATAATTAAATCAAAAGAAGAATAAAATGAATTTTCAATCAAATTGATTGACTTTTTAACATTTCCTAATGTAATTAGTATCTCTTGCAAATGAATTGTCGAGACTTTATTATCTCCAAATGAGAACAATCAATGTTGACACTCCATGACTAGAGATAGGTTTACTGACCTGCTTTGTTTCCTTTTTAATATGTCATTCGTACCATTTTAGCGTATAAGAATTTTCCAGCCTCATTTCTAGCTTCAAAAAAACAAACCAACCAGTAAACCAATTCAAACAATGTTTATCTCAAAATCAACAGAAAAAGACTTTGTCCCACACACTGAAAGAAAACGAAAGTCGTTACGATTTTCAAAGAGTGGTGCACTAGGAAATTTAGATGACAAACACATAACATTCATCAGAGGAATGCACCAACGAACTATTTCATTGGCTGTTTACCCAAAACAAGGCATTTTACTTCAAGTATTAAGAGAGGAATTTAATGATAATGGATTGTCATATTTCTATGATCCAGAGCAAAGGAAGGAATTGGATTATGCTGGCTTGTGGGAAACTTCAACGAGGACCATATTAGTCTTGGAAGATAGTGATGATGTTAATGTATTATTGAGGGAATTTCAAAAACAATATTGTTAATGCCCATGTAATTTTGAATATAAAAGTAAAATTTATTTACGTTTCTTTTGATTACCAGTAGCAGTGGCAGTATTGAATTGATTAATATAATTTTCCAAAATACTACGTGTACTACTCATCATATTAATTGCATTCAAATCTGAAAGTGGTTGTAATAATTTTTCTCTAATAAAAATAGATAATTGTGAATTTAATAAAAATCTTTCATAATTTTCCAATTCACTTCTTTCAGTTTGTTGCATTTTCAATAACATTTTTTCATAATAATCTTCCTTTCCAATTATAATTAAAATAATAATTCTATTTAAACCTTCTAAAAATCTTAAATCATTATAATATTGATATTGATAATATAATAATGTTACAATTCTAATAATATTTAATTCATAATTATTATCATTAATTAATTTATAAATAAATTTAATAAATAAATAAATTGAATCTTGATTTACAAATTTAATAATTTTAAATAATGAATTGAAATTC